CTGGACTGGACATAGACTGCGAAGAAGGTTTGCGGACATCACGCACCAGGTCAAGTCCTTGAGTGGAAGCTAAATGGGAAACGATGAGTTAGACGTCCCAGGTGAGGGTGACATGGAGGAGATGGTGTGAGGAAGAAATGAGAGCTTGTGGTCAGTCGTGGCGCCAGGTTTAAAGGACTGCAGAGAAGAGAGTGCAATGGTGACGTGCTACTGAAGCCCAATGTTCCACTAGGAACCCAAGGGAGAAATAGTATGGTAGTAAATTGTTGACATAATTACTTGAACAAGCATTTCAGAGAAATAGTTTCAGTTCCTCCAACTAAAAAACGTTTTCAACATGTAAAGCTTCTTTTCTGCAGGTAATAAGCACTAAATTGTTTCTATACCACGTATGTGCGGACCTATGGAAATGGATGTATCATTCGTTTCACGAAATTAGCTGAAAATTTTCCCTTTTAGAGAACAATTTATCCTTTCGATTCGGATGATACCTATGACTGATATGCCATTTTCCATACACAGAGAAAAGACCTGGCAGTACTGCATCACTGTCCTAGTTGCTATACCTCGTATCGTGGATTTAAAAGGGATTGATGGTAACTCGGATAGTTGAGACATTTATCCTTTATAGTGCAGGTTATCACTTCTTTAAGTATTTGAAAAAAAATGGAAAAAGTATCGCAAGTTGATCCGAAGGTGAAAGCAGTGCCAACTCACACCTAAAGATCTCGACAGCATTCGAACAATACAGAAGTTATTCAGTATACTTCTTCTTCAAGAAACTATCTCCTGTTCCAGGAATGTTGCAAAATGGAGTTGTAGTAACTTTCTGAGCATTTCCCTACGAGAGGGTAGCATCACAAGATTCTGTTTGCCTTTAGGAAGCAAGTTAGAACTGTTAGACATATCTCAAACTGTCCGCAAGACTCTGCATCTTTTTCTTACAGCACTACGTTATTTGCGTACTCCAAATCTGCTGAGGATTCTCCTGTGATAAGATCAATCCCTGTTCAGTCAGACGATGAGAGAAAGACCTCCATAAGTATATCTGTGGTAAAGGCGAGTAAGAATGGAGAGACTGAACATCCTTGACGGACACCACTCGACCCACCTCCTGCTCCAACACACAGAATATTTGTGTCCTGACCCTTCAACAGAGCGATATACTTCCTCTGTTACCTTTTTCGGTGAGATACGCTGACATAAGAACTTTTAGTCGATGTAGTCGAATGCTGTCGCGTGATCCAGAACCTGACGAATAGAATAATCTGGTCGGCACTCTGTCATTCATGTTTGAAACCTGCCCGGTGTTCTTCGGTTTGATGCTTCTGACCTCCACTTAGAAGTGTGATAATTGTAGAAGCTACAGTCTCCCACGTCGTGTTCATTGGACTGGGACTCTTGTGACTGCCAACCTCTTCTAAGATTGGGCTAATTAGAAGGCATCATATCTGATTTCTGTACGCTAGCTAATACTTCAGTCTTGGCCAATACTCCACGATCACCACTCTTAAGTAGCTCCAGTACGAGGCTATCGGTGTTTGAGGCTTTTCCTCGCATGAGATTAATTAAAATCTTCTCGAATTCTGTAAGTGTTGGAGAGCCTATCTCAATATTCCTCTCGGGATCCGACTAGATAGCAGGCGGCGGATTACTAGCCGGAAGCTAGTTGAACTATCCCGCCCATTGTTCCACTTGTCTCCCTTGGTAATGAATAGCAGGCCCACCCTTCTTGCCATAGTCTCGCTGACTACTGGCATTTTCGCTCCAGTGCCATCTTCGGTTTAAATACTTGTCGCCTGTCACCGCTGCCTTTTCCATATCTTTAGCCTTCGCTACCCACCACTGTTCACATTTATTGTGTAGACTACTTGTCAGCCTATGCTTAAGTTGCTTGCACAATTCATTGTGTTCGGAGCATGCAGGGAAACGTTTACCTGAATCCATTAATTCAGAAGAAGCCACTGACACCCATTGGCCATTTCTAACTACTTTATTACAGCAGACTGCAGATGACAAACAGCGTCATCTGGACGAGTGACAATGTCCCGTTACGATAACTGTCTAACCAGTTCCGAGTTTTCTCATCGTTAGGCCACGCCCAGTGTAGAATCCTTCCTGCGTCCATTTAAGTCAAAACATCACCTGAATCTTTCTTCAACTCAATTGAAGTCCAGTTTTCACTGCCTCTTCTATCAACTTGTTAGTTTTCGCCTGCAGATCTTCGAGTTTGTGCAACATTAGACATAAATCATCATCATCGGCGAAATCCAAATCTTCTAAGATCTTTTCATCGGTCAAACAGCGTATGCCCCTCTTCTCACTCCTTTACAGTCTGTTTCATGACCCAGTCCAGTTGAGTCGACCACAATCAGGAAGATCGTTGGTGATGGTAGGTGGCAACCTTGTCTTACTCCTGTCTTCACTTCAAAGGCACCAGTGACCTTTCATTGTGAATCACCTGACATGTGGCGTCGTCATATAGCTGTTGAATGAGGTTGATATAGGTTTGCGACACCACAACGGTAGAGTTGAAGTAGCTGCCTGTCAAATTACTTCTCGGTCGACACTGTCGAAGGCCTTTTCAAAATCGATGAAGTTGAGGTTTAGTTGAGTTGACTGCCATTCTATACTCCGTTCTGTGATGAGGCGTAGCTTAGTGTAGTGTAGCGTTGCAATTTGATCCGCACACGATTTGTTCTTCCTGAAGCCAGTCAGCCAGCCTGTTCCGGTCGTAATTTCGAATCCAGCGCATTTTTGAGTCTCTGCAAGATGATGCGGCTTAATATTTTGCTTGCTTTGGTTGGACAGCGATAGGAGCATGATTCCGTGCCAGTTCTTGCAAAGACAGGTCGCCCTTCTTTGGGAGTTATACAAGGTAGCCCTTCCTCCAATCAGTTGGCAGGTACCTTTCCTTTCTTCTTTGCAAACCTTCTGCAGTGGTGGTGTGAGCATGTCCGCTGCTGTTGTCTCTGCGTCTGTTTTCAGTGCTTTTGGTGGGATTCCATCTGGTCCTGCTGCTTTGCCGGATTTCAGCAAGTGTATGGCGTTCAGGACTTCACTTCTGCTTTTGTTGGAGGGCTTGTGTTCACTGGTAGTCCTGTGGCTGGGCTGCTGGTGGTATTTCTGGACGAGTTGCAGGTGGTGGTAGTGGTTGTGGTCGATTCAAGAGTTTTCTGAGGTGTTCAGTCCATCGTTTTCTTTGTTTCTTCTCTTTGGTAACTAAGTTCCCTTCACTACCTTTCATCGGTTTCATCTGTGTTGATCTCTTCCATCCCAGATAGTAGCCTTGTTATTTGATAAAGTGTTGTCAGGTCTCTGTCTCTCCTATCAACAGCCTGTTCTGCTTCACTGGCAAGTGTGTTGTAGAAGTGTCTTTTGTCTTTGCGCGCACTCTTCTTCTTCACTTCTTTGTTCAGTGTAGTGTTTTGTAGGTTGTGTTCAGTTCCTCTTTTCGTTGTTCATCCTTGCACTGCACTAGTTCATCTTCTGCTTCACCATTTCCTCTCCCTGCCCTATCAGCTTCTATGTATGCGCCGAGATCCATTCCTTGTCTTGCCGCTTCTTCTTCCTTCCTAACACGGTTACGCAGGTTTCCTTCCTAGTCGCTTTCACAGAGTTCCAGTGTTCTTCCATGCAGGTTTACTTGTCAATATTGCCTAATGTCTCCCACTTTTTCCTGATGTTTGACGTGAATATGTTCTTTTTAGTTTTGTCCTTCAGTTAAGTTTCTGTTCTGGGTGTTAAACTTGAACTTGAACTGTGGTGTATCACCAACTTCTGTGAAGTGAAGGCTTTCAACTTGATTTTGAAGGTAGGTTCCTTGCACTAGATAGTGAAGTGAGTGGTGTGAACCACCCACATCTGCTCCCCTTCTTCATCTCATCTTGTGTCCAGTAGGCTGCGTCTCCACTCTCCTCACATTGAGATCAAGTCGATCTGATTTTTAGTGTAGTGTGTCCTGGTGTGGTGTCTGGTGAAATCAAATCCATGTCGCTACCTTGTGAATATCCTTGTGTTTGTACACACTGTCTGACTCCAATCACCAAATCGTTCAAGGTGCAGAAGTCTTCAAACAGTTCTCCATTCTCATTGATCATTTCACCGAGTGCTTCTCGGCCCATGATTGCTTCCCTTCCTGTGTTGTCTGCTCCTAGTAAGGAAGGCATTCATGTCACTGCACCCATTGGAGTTTTGATATTGCCATCTGAGTTGGGGTCTTGTCGACTACTGATTGTAGTTGTCCTCCTTCTTCTTTTGATCTGCATTATTTGTATGTGCGTGGCATTGTATGATTGTGGTTTTCCTTCCTTTTGAGATGAATCTTGCTGTCACGATCCTGCAGGCGGAGATTGGTTCCCCCTACACGAGAGCCTTCGATGCTGTTGGGGACATAATGATAGCCACTCCACAACTCAGTGCGCTTGTGGTTGTCGTCTGGGTGACAATATCGGAGTAGATTATTGACTCTGCAGTTGACAGTTTGGAGAGTCCACTTCCATTCCATTTGCTTCCGCAAATTCCTAGCACTTCCATGCTATACCTTCTCATCTCTTTTGCAATGTGAGCAGCCTTAGCAGCCAGCTTCAAACATTGTGCGGACATTCCATGTCCCCATGCTTACTTTTGCTTTGATCGAAAGAGAGACGACACATCGGGTAATTGGCTTCCCGAAGGCTTCCACCAACTGGCGTCATTTCGTCTCTCTGATTCTAGTGAGGAATAAGTTAAATTTTTTTTCATTTTTATTTCCTTTGTGCTTTGAAGTTTGTTTAGTGGTTAGATTGGTTTTGCGGGGTAGGGTTGCTATCCCTATGCCCAACCTTCCCTCTTTATCCGGGCTTAGGACTGACTGGCTAGTAACTAGTAAACTAGTTAACCAGACGAAGTTGTCAGATTGACTTAGTGTGTATATTCTTTGGTACTTTTACAACAGTACATTGACGAAAATTTTACTTATAACACATACAAACAGTTAACAGTGGTGTTTTGTTTTGTAGTCATCGTTAAGGCTAGTAACGGACCACGATATGTCGTCGGCTGTCGGCGTAGTTTACAAAGCAGTAAGTTAAAGCCAGGCACAAGAGTTGCATTGGATATGACAACATTGACCATTATGCGCCAATTGCCGCGTGAGGTGGACCCACTCGTTCACAACATGTCTTCAGAAGATCCCGGTTCTGTATCATATGGGTCTGTTGGAGGATTAGCAGATCAAATTAGAGAACTCAGAGAAGTTATTGAACTACCTCTTTTGAATCCAGAGCTATTCCAAAGAGTTGGTATAACGCCTCCAAAAGGTTGTCTCCTTTACGGTCCACCAGGGACAGGAAAAACTCTTTTGGCACGTGCTGTAGCCTCACAACTTGAAGTTAATTTTCTAAAGGTTAGTCACTTTAAATTATACAAAATGTGTTTCACTTTCATAAGGGTTTTCTCTAAGCTGCTGTGGTGAATCTATATCAAAACCGAAATAAGAATTTTTATATTCTGAGTAACTCATTCTCACAAATAGTAGTGTGTATCTGCATGTGCATATATATATATATATATATATATATATATATATAACACCGGTATATAAAATTGAGCTTTATCTTCAACTGTAATAATGTTGGTTAGTGCAGGTAATTTAGTTGTTTTCCACTGAAGCTGTTAAGGTTCCTCGACAGCAAGTTTGTTTAGCGGTTAGACTGGTTTGCAGGGTAGGGTGCTAGCCCTATATACCCAAACTTCAGTCTTCATCCGGGCTTAGGACCCGCTACGTAACTAGTTACGTAGGCATGGTTAGTGTGTCAATGAGTACAGACTAAATAGCTACGAAGGAGTTTCTGTTTTTATCCTTCACTATGCTGTTACTCGAACAGCACACAGGGCTTTGCAATCTGTCGATCAGTGCTTATTGTACCTTGGAATTCGATGATATACCTCCAACTGCAAGGCCGCGAGAAAGAGTCAACGGATCTCAAGAAACTCGAAGGGTGGATTTTGCGGATTCATCATATTGGCCGGGCATGATTAAATGAACAGCCCCACCATATACCTTTCGCTTGAACACAGCACACATCCTTGGCCTCAGAAGCAGTTTTGGTTGGCAAAGCTGTTGGCTGACTCGACGTAGATTAGGGAAATCGAAGGTTACAATATGTAGTTCGGAGCTCGTTACAGAAGATCAGACAAGATCAGACAATCATGAACTCAGATCGCTATCAAGAGCAGAAGAGTTGAATCAAACTCAAGAGGGTATAGGAATGTGACCGAGACGTGGAGAAGGATTAGGAGTTAAGAATGCAGAAGATTGAGAATGATCTCAAAAAACTTCAGTGCTGATAAAGTTGTCAGAGGGCGTACGGCACTTTCAAGATACTAACACCATGGAAGATTAATTCTTCCTGAAGTACCTCAAAAAATAAATTGGGTTGGTAATAGTGGTTCGTGACCACAGAATCCAGAATGTATCTGGTTGAAGTTGGTCAAATATGGCCTTTCAACAGGTGCCGAAAGATTTCAGGGTAGGGCAGGTGCTATTTCCGAGGTCGATTGGCATAACACTGTTGGTCATTCACGAGATACAACTTACTGCCAGTAAACCCCGTCCAGCCAGCAGTACCACTTCACGCTCAGGCCTTTATAAATAGCTCAATAATTTACACAATAACGGTAACTGCCCTTTGTCTTACCACTATCTAAGAAATCCCTCTGATAAATAAGACGTCAAAGAAACAAGTGCCCCACTAGTAGAGCTCACTGGTTCAGTATGATATGCAATGACGACCACCTAATTAAGGTGGCATCTGTCGATCGGGAAGCCGCATATTTACTCGTGAAGAAGCTATTCAATGATCATTTGTATCTTCAGTCGAAATTACAAACTCCTAAGGAACTAATCACCTGCATTCCATCTATGTTTAATAATAATACTCCACGCACTAATACATGATGTGGTGAGTAACACTGGGAAGCGCTAGCATTCTTTATTGATACATTTGATAAAATTAATCTGCTGTAAACTTCAAATACTGATCAATATATTTTGAATTAAGTTGAAAAGAAACCGCATGAATAGAGAATCATCTTTTCCCGTCCTATATAATATTTGCGATACAAGAACGCAGAAGTAATTGCATTATCAGAGAGATTTTTGTGTTTTAATAATTACTGTAAGTGAATAAATGACATTCAAAGAGAAAATATTTCACACTGGTTTATAATCCAACTTTGTTTCCAACTTCTTAGCATCCGCTATCTTGCGTACAGCTTTCATGAAGTCCTCTTCAACAGTGTAATCACGTTCTGAACGTATTGCAAACATGCCTGTTTAGTTAGTAAAGACACAAGTAGATGATTTCCTCTTTCAAAATGTGAGCAATAATCAACTCAGGTATGCAATGCAGAAATTATGAAAAATACAAACTGGTTAAAAAGTTAAACATGCGATTATATCTATGACGAACTCTTTAATTTGTAAAATGAAAATTTCTAACCTGTATGATGATGTTTGAATCTTTTGTTAATGTCTAATGTGAACGTCGTACAGAATAAAAACTTAGAACCACTATTTCAGAAAACTCGGACGGTAAACGCTTATCGTTGAAATGACGATATTCCCATACGCTATCTAGCACCTTTTTACCTCCATTGGGGAGCAACCCATCAGGTCCTGCTGCTTTCATCGTTTAAGGTTTGAGACAACCTTTTCTCAACTTCGATGGCAGTTGGAGGACTAATATTTATGCCCCATTCACATTCGGGTTGGCTAGTGGCAGGGGAACTGAAGTGTTTATGTGGGTCAGTTGAACTGCGCTTCAAGATGTTCCCGCCACCTATCCTGAAAGGCTATTAAGGTTTCATCCTTTCCAGTAATGTTTTCACTCACCATCGTCTTCTTTTCGCCGGTATCCTTTTATAAGCCTAAATAGTTGCCGAGTGTTGCTGCCTTCTCCGTCTCTCTCGCTCTCGCCACTCTTAGTCTATTCACATCTAAGCTGTTTTCCCTCTTTATTGCAGACAGAGCCTGCTGGAATCAGTCTTTTCACATCAATCAGTTTGGATGAAATCCTCTCCTATGATTGTTTATAACAATATGATCTGCCTGTGTTCATCACCGGTTTGATGTCGGTGGACGCTGAGTGAGACGTCTCTTTGTTTGAATCTTTTATAATATGTTTGATTTCAGCCAAAAGTGCATATGAAGTTCACCAAAGCAAAGAAGAATTTATAAGAGTCATGCATTCATAAAATAACACTTGTTACCACTGTGCATCCTATTTATTAAAAATTTATGAACCAACGCTTTGGAAATCGCCTAGAAAAAATATTTCCCTCGGGTAACAAAAGAATACCATAACTCTTTGAAAATGAAAACCAAAGTGGTTTACTTAACTTTCTTACTTATGTCGAAATCGGTTTTTGACGAAGATGAGTATTCTTTTAAAGTGGCATTTACGGTAATCAAATGCACAATACTCTTACAGCTGCCGAAAAACGAAGTTTTAAAGTTTGTATTACACTCTAGTTGCAATAACACTGCGCAACAGAGCAACGTAGTTTTAGTTAATACGCTTATTGGAGTTCCAATTAATGAAACTGCTTAAAAGTCAACCGGTTAATTGAACAACCTTAGCAATAACATACCTAATTTCCCATGACAAATAATTCTCATATCTCCTCAATTTAATTTTTACATAGCATGCATCATGTATGTACTTGATAAACAATAAACTAAGGAATGTTGGATACGTTTTATTCCAAATTTGGGGTACTCATACCCTCGATTACTAGATATATGAATCAAAATGACAACTGTGAGCTGTCTAGGCAGCTTTTTAGGCGGAAAGTCCCTAAACAATGCATAAATATGAAGTTCAGAGATACACAGTAGTACCAGTTCCAAGGAATTTTTTCAAAACAAGTCCCCGACTTGTGTAAGAAGGAAGAGTTAGCCTACTAACAGACTTTGTAGTGTTTTTCTTAAGGTTGGATTTACAAGTCAAAGATTTTAATCAGGATTAGAAAGTCACTAAAAACATGTTTTAGCAAACAGTAAGAGTATCATAGTCTCATGGTACGCGAAAAATTGTCAACTGATGTACAGTCAACACAACTAAGCAATATAGAGAATGGTTAAGAAAAAAGTAATATCAGTAGGAAAAAACAGTCGTGGTGAGTACTGATATACAGTAGATGAAACAAGAATGAACAGAAAATAAAAGATAGGGAACTACAAAGTGATAAAAGTCTAGGTGCATCTACGTAACTATGGTTGATCTTAGTCTGCATCATCTTATGCAGCAATGACTTATTGGTTACGATAGTCGACTTAGGACCAGTATAAGTGGCGAAGGTCTTTCAATCAACGGAAATTTTAACAACCAAGTAGTACTACTAACCTACTTACAATACTTGTTAATCACGGACTGTGTATAGGCCTAAATAATACAAATAAACTGGACTGTTCGTATTACTTAAAGCTTTTGAACACTAATTACAGCCTATTCATGGGTTTTGATAACGTAACATAGTAGCTTTAGATCAGAAATACTCAGTACAACGGTAATCAAGGATTGAGTGACATTATGACCTCATCGGACGAATAGGATTTCATGATTTATACGGAAAGATGAATAGAAAGACTGAAAACTAAACAAAAGGTTTGTCGTTTCAAGTGATGAAACTTGTGACAGCACAGAAGGAGACAGCAAGACATAAAGGCAAAAAAACACTAGAATTATTACGATACATAAGACATTACACCATAATAGTTTCCCTTTAAATAACTGATCTTTTTATTCCAGTAGTTGAATATATGGGACAATTGCGATACGATAACATTGTTAGCGTACGGAGGGATCACAATGTGAGCAGTGTAAAAGTCAGGCGAATGGTACTGGCAAGGAAGGCAAATCAGTCGATGTTATGAGTCCTCATTAATTGAGATGGCTTGAACATGTGTTGCGCAGGTCAAGCCACCTCCTACCTCGATGTGTATTGGTAGGAGTTGGATCAGGTTGTAAGAGGACTCAGGGTGACTAACCCAAGACATGACACGTGTCGATGAAGTCTCAGTTTCGGTCTGTGATGTTTAAGGTGTAGACTACCTGATTGGAGTCCCTAATATAATAGGAATCAGTGGTTGAGGACTCTCGGTCACGGCTGAAAACCGGTCACAATGGCACAGATGTATTCAGTCCTTGATGTCTTCTATAGCTGGAATATTCCCATCAACTTTACTTTTCAAATTCTTTCTCCACCCAAGCACATTTGTGTATTTTGATACTGGTTTTTTTTCTATCCACTTGTAATTTGCATGCTTCTGTGAAGTGTGGCAATCTGAAGCGATGCACTTGTGAGCAAGGTTCTACTTTGATCTTGTCTGTTTGGCATACAATTTTACTACTTAGTGAGAATCAAAATCCGTGAGAGTTGGAAAAAAAATTAAAACTGTTTTATTAACATACCAACACAAAACGGACTAGATTAGACCTAAGGACGGCAACGAAATGTGACTGAAGAGCGCTAATAGCTAGGAAAATACCTATGGTACGATAACAATTTTATTTTTATGTTGACAGATAGTAGAATCAACTGAATAAAAACACAACAGATTAGTATGTAAAAAGAAGTAGTCAGAATCTAACAAAACTTTGTGACGAGGGACAGGTAACACACTGGCAACTGTTTTAGTAATTTTGGAATAAAATTTAAAGTAGGATTTCACGAAATGACGTAATAACACACATAGAAACTTACCAGCTCAGTGCAAACATTACGCAGATCAGCTCCGTTAAATCCATCAGAAAGTTTAACAACAGCTTCCCAATCTGCAAAGTCAATAGAATAACAACGATAAATAAAATTAAGACCACGTATAGTAATGCTAGCAGTAATACACTTTGGAAAAGCACTATAAACTTGAATGTTAAATGACTTCGTCATCTACGGTAAACCAATCCTGGTGTTTCTGCTTAGTCAAAAGTCTTGAAGCAGATTTCCAATTGCTCTTTCCACTTTTCCACGCAAGCGATACGTAATAAAGATTAAAAAAATACTTTGGTAATTAGTGTCTAGCACTCTGTACTAAGAACACTGAAAACATATGGCTGGAAAGAAAGTTCTTTTAAATCAGAATTAGCACATCATTTTTCCAAATTATTATTAAACATTTATTAGATATCTGAAGAATGAGAAAAACCGACTGCTATGGTAATCGATTTTGTTGAAAACAGTGAATAGTAATCACGGTTCCACAAAAAGATTACAATATATGATGATGATGATGATGCTTGAAGTGTAGATCATATATAATAAATCAAAATAGTTTTTCTAGTTTGATTCGTACTGCATAGGAGCCTCATATTATTGTTCGGTTAACAGCCTACGGTCTGATGAGAAATTTCGAATGACTGAAAGAGAAACTGTGTGAATAATGCCCTGTAAAATTTATATTAATTACACAATCCATAATAGAATCAGACATAAATGAATTTTTTGACAAGTCTTTTGTTTCAGTTTTGATCACAAGGTTGAGTAATGGGCAATTTGCTTCACTTAACAATGGTGATCTAGAAGAAGTCCAGCTCACTCACCAAACACAGTTCAGTCAGGTACAACTATGACAGAAATAACTGAATCTCATCGGATGAATTTACAAAAGTAGTAATCACAGTAAGTCGTTGTGTACTACGTGCCTTTTGTATGACAAGTGAAGATATTACCTTGGTTGCCAAAACAGAAATAAGTGAAGAGGATTTGACTTCATGACTACGTATTTGAAAACTGGGTATAAATTACGGTGAACTAACGGGATTGTCAGCTAATCTTGCTATAACAAAAATAACCTTTTTAGGCAGTCAGTGTACTATATCATATGAAGTAAAGAGAAAGAAAGCTGAATTATATCGTTAACATCTATATTTTACCTATTTCTCCATGTTTGGCTATTGGAGCTGCGTGTATTTTAAGCACATCCATACGAGCTTGTTCATTTGGCAGAGGGATTTCTAAACAGAAATGATCGTTATATAATTACCAGTCATTGAAAATAGTACACCTACCAATCTTACGATCCAAACGTCCAGGTCGAAGTAAAGCAGGATCAAGTGTATCAGGTCGATTAGTTGCCATGATCATTTTAACCTATGTTAAAGGAAGAGAAATGATTCCTAAGTTGATAGTGGTACGATGAGCACAGTATTACTAACACTAAGTGGTTCTGTTGAAATTATTAGCAATAACTAGTGTAGCTCAACCCACTACATGTATTTACGGACTGGGCTAAGAGTCGCATTTGTCAGAGCTTGTGATACTACCTGATTGCTCAAGTCCAATTAGGTGGAGTGGGATTTTAACGTACCCATCACTTGGAAATTGAATTCTCACGCTAACGAGCTACAACTTCATAGGACATACGACATTAGTGGAAACCAACTTGAATCAACAGCTTTTTTTGCCGATGACTAAATATGTGAGAATATGACTTCTACTAGGAGAAATCTGTTTCCATAGAAATATTGGGAAGGAAAAAATTAATAAGACAGGCATTTCCATCTGTGGTTTCTTGACTTTCAGGAAATAATTAATGAAACATCCTGTAGATTTACTAGCTCAGCATCTACAGTTATCAACTTTAATATATATTTACGCTGGTAGTCAGTCGTCTTTCAAGTAATCCTGGATTAAAAGTTATTCAGATGGAAAAAAGTGTTTAGATCTCGCCAGCGATTGCTAGTGGTCGGTGAGAGTGACCTAAAATTACTCATATCGGATGGAAGTTAACATGGTACAGAGGTTATGCCCATAATCTTGAACCCAATAATAATGTCACCATGAAATTTTGTAACTGAATTTTGGCCAATTGTATCATTCTCGTCTCAAAGACTTGGTTCGACTCTGGTTTTCATTTGTTTGGACAAGACAAGACTTCAGCTTAAGATGTTCTACTTCGGAAAAGCACAAGGATAATACAAAGAACAAAACATTGAAATAAAGTACAATAATGTTAGTGCATGAGAGAACACGCGGAAGACAACGATATTTATGCCGAAAGAAAAACAAAAAACTGTTCATGATTTGTCAAGAAACTTTAAGATAAGGCGTTCATGCTATTTTGGTAGGTTTTCACTCATATCTCTCAAACACCGGTCTTCGTAACAGTAACTAAAGTCAAAAAGTCTGCATATTTCCACAAGGCTGGGGGATAGGAAAGTCAGTCGATGAGCTTGTGAATCTTCATCTGCACCACTGTGAACGATTTTAAACAATGTCTCCAAGAGTTGCTAGCTAGTGATTCCTATCAAGTTAGTGATCCCAGCCAGGCAGTCTACACCTTCCTAGACAGCTCAGATCAACAGACAGAGACTTTATGGACCGGTACCATCAATTGGTTTGGTCACTCTAAGCCTTCTTTTATTTTGGTTCTACTTCGGATAAGATTCCGCGACCGGAGCTGATAGCTTTGTATGCGGAACACATGTGCAAGCTACATCAATCGGTGAACATTCACAACCTCATCGACCGACTTGCCTTTGACACTTAATACTATAACGCTTAACCTCGATATTGCTGACATGGTGACTTCACAAGACTGAAATAGGCAAAACAGAGTTTAGACCTAGAAATCATTGTTGAAAGTTGAGTGCTAAAACCGATGAGCAAAAGCCTAGTAAATCTAACATTTCATGACAGGGATAAAAAATTCGACATAGGAGGCACTACTGAGTAACGGTTCAAGTTGCTACACAGTAAATCAAGTGAGAAAGCATCGAGATGAAGTATAAAGAAATAGAGGAAAAAGAGGTAAAATTGGCAGAACCTTCTGATGACTGACTTTCTTCACCCCCCTAAAACTCTACACCTGACTTCCATGTTACTGAAGTGGCGACATCAAGACATACGGCCTACGATATGAAGGCCACGATGGTCGAACACCCGAAACCTTTGCATAAGCTCTACCTTCAGTATTCATGCTTCGCAACCGTATTGTAGAGCAGAGCAAGTTGCAGGACAGTAAACTCGACTCTTAACTTACTAAGTAATCAATCAAATATCATACCAGCACTATAAATGACGTAAGTTGGTGGAGACCAGAAGGAGATTTTGTCTCTGTGTGGAGATTTCATCAGCCCCAGGGTTGGTCCGACCTCCGAGGTAAGTGAGGTGGTCAACGCGATCAGCTGCTTCACTCCCTTTTGTTAGACTGGACTATACTGAAGACCTGTTCAGCGGCAACAATTTACGATCAGGTGGCTAGGGATGCATCTCAAACATTCTCAAACTGCCAATCAAGTGCCCGCAAGACTACATTTCGTCAGCACTTTCACTTAACAGGACTATGTTATCTATGTACTCCAGATCTAAGGATTCTCCTGTGATAAGATCAACCCCCGTAGAGTCAGATGATGAGAGAGAAACCTCCATCTCCATGGCTATGATAAAAATGAGTAAGAATGAAGTAAGTGGACATACTTGACGTACACAACTCGCCTGAAAACTCATCCCAGGCTCTAACACGCCCACGAGTTTTCACATCCCGACTATTCAACAGTGATGTCTTTACTCGGCACCCACTTTAGCGAGACAAATAACGAAATATGTATAAACAATTAGTCCCTTTAATAAATTTCGATAAATCTGTTAGAAGACGAAGATTATCTGAGCAATGTGATGTATTCACGCAATACATTTCGAACAATCTGATCACACATTTACTTGTCAAGTCAATTTATATATGGAAATTAAAGGTCAAATATAATGAATATGAAAAGGTTGTTTTTGTACGCCACAAACCTCAACCTCGCATAAATGATTATGTCACATCCCACTGTGTTTACCAATTTACATGTATGCGCGGGGACACATACATAGGGAAGAGTAATCATTCATTGTACACTAAGGTGGGTGAACACAAAACTAAATGGCTTGAAATGCAATTTAATACAAACATTGATAAGTGCAGGTGACAGACATTCATCGTCATCTATAGCAAAACATCAATGAAATGAATTACACGGTTAATATGAAAACAGGAATAATCAAGGGCACAATACTGAAGTTTGGTGAAGCGTTAGCCATTCGTAAACTTAAGCCTCCGCTGTGTGTAGAAAAACAATTTGTTGTTTCACTTAATTTACCTTAGTAATTCTTATCTGACTATATTACCACGACTACTGAAACAACCTTTTCACATTCATTATATTTGACCTTTAATTTCCATATATACATTGATTTGACAAGTAAATGTGTGATCAGATTGTTTGAAATGTATTGCGCGAATACATCACATTGTTCAGATAATCTTCATCTTCTAATAGCGTTACTGGAATATATAAACAAGACGAATCAGACTTAGTGTTTGAAAGTTGTTAGTAAAATGAATGATGAGAAATAGTATACAGCTACAGACACTCACTGGATAACTGAAAATGTCCACAAAAAACACTTCAACATAAATCGAATATCAGATAATTTTAGAATGCGATGATTCTTTGGTTTAAGCACCATACTTCACAGCAGCAAGTCTTGGGTTTGAACATTACTCCACCTACTGTTGTGGCCTAGGCAACTGGATAGTATCATAAGTCATCAGACAACCTGTGGCTGACAGCCTCGTACATAAAACATATCGTCTCCTTAATATTTAGAGGAATTTTTTCCGTTATAGATTCTTCCTAATCTATGTATCACAGTGAAAGAATGTTGTGCACTGATGATGTTTTGAGCGGTATTTATTGCTCATATATATATATATATATATATATATATATATATATATATATATATATATATATATATATATATATATGGGATTACGCTCTACAACAGTGCCCAAATTCTCTTATTATATTACCCAAATGTTTGTTACTAACATAACTGAAATAAGCTTAGAAATTGGTTTCTTAGAAAAATACAATAACTGATCGGGTTAAAGAAGATAGCAAATTGAAGACCTAACCAGAGTACAGAATGTACCATATGAAGGAGAAGTAGTCACCTAGATAAAAGGCGCCAAGTATCATATTTTACCAGGTTTAGTAAATACCATTAGTGTATTGGAATCACTGTTTGGATGTTTGTACAGGATTTCGAAACATTCTACAACTCGTTAAGTGCTTTCAGCTACCAGTGTTTCAGTTTTCAAGTAAAAAATTAGTAACCAAACAGTTGCATAGAATACAGCTTAAAAAATAAAATCGGGAATAAATTAATTTCTTGAACACGTACTATCACGTACCTGGCCAAGAGCGTCAAAACCATCCATTTGATTCAGTAATTCCATCAAAGTACGCTGGATTTCACGATCAGCACTTGTACCTTCGGTGAAGCGACGACCACCAATGGCATCAATTTCATCCATAAAAATGATACAAGGTTGGTGATCACGCGCATAGTTGAACATTTCTCGAATTAAACGAGCTGACTCGCCAATATACTTGTCCACAATACCACTGGATACAACCTGAATAAAATTTAGGAAGGAGAATCATAGTGCCTTAGTTAATCTCCTTCGTATGCGTTTTTACGCATACAACTAAAACAGAGTGAACTGCTACGCATTACATTAGCTTTTTAATGCGTGGCGGGTATCTCACCAATAAAACGGGTAAGAAAATGCTCACAAAGTGATGAGAAAAATTATGAATTTCATTTCAAGTATATTATTTCAATCATACGGTATGGACATAAAGAATAGCACTTTAAGTTAAATAAAACAAAGTATCTAGGTTAAAAGTGCTCATTAACATGTATATGTATATGCCCCTCCTTCTGACTGAAAGAGACACAAACTACATGACAAATCACAATCAAAAGGTGATTTCAAGCAGGTTCATTTCGAATAATTTCAAGAGAGCAGATTTATCATCACATGTTTGTCGATAAAACTAATTTTCGAATGAACAAGAGATATGGGATGATCATCTATTTGTACGCTGCCGTGAAGTTTGGCAACTCGAACAGGTACTTTTTGTCAGGTTCTAAGTTGATTGGTCTCTCTACTTTAATTCCCCTCAAAATGGTATCCAGAAAACTGAAACATTGTAGTCGAGATCCTCATTTTTAATTTAATCATTCACCAGCATTTATCGGAAACCCTGATTAACTTGAGCGACATACAGTTACACAATATGGTCCTCAACCTCCAACAAAAGATGAAGTAACATCTTATCCACTAAAAAACCTACTTTAGTCTTAAGGACATAATTTTTTGACCATAGATTCCAATATGCTTAAAAACATTACTTGGTGTCGATGAACTTTAACAGCTTCAGTGGAAAACAACTAAATTACCTGCACTAACCAACATTATTACAAGTTGAAGATAAAGCTCAATTTTGCATACCCGGTGTTATATATATATATATATATATATATATATATATATATATATATATATATATATATATATATATATATGCACATGCAGATACACACTACTATTTGTGAGAATGAGTTACTCAGAATATAAAAATTCTTATTTCGGTTTTGATATAGATTCAACCACAGCAGCTTAGAGAATACCCTTATGAAAGTGAAACACATTTTGTATAATTTAAAGTGACTAACCTTTAGAAAATTAACATCAAGTTGTGAGGCTACAGCACGTGCCAAAAGAGTTTTTCCTGTCCCTGGTGGACCGTAAAGGAGACAACCTTTTGGAGGCGTTATACCAACTCTTTGGAATAGCTCTGGATTCAAAAGAGGTAGTTCAATAACTTCTCTGAGTTCTCTAATTTGATCTGCTAATCCTCCAACAGACCCATATGATACAGAACCGGGATCTTCTGAAGACATGTTGTGAACGAGTGGGTCCACCTCACGCGGCAATTGGCGCATAATGGTCAATGTTGTCATATCCAATGCAACTCTTGTGCCTGGCTTTAACTTACTGCTTTGTAAACTACGCCGACAGCCGACGACATATCGTGGTCCGTTACTAGCCTTAACGATGACTACAAAACAAAACACCACTGTTAACTGTTTGTATGTGTTATAAGTAAAATTTTCGTCAATGTACTGTTGTAAAAGTACCAAAGAATATACACACTAAGTCAATCTGACAACTTCGTCTGGTTAACTAGTTTACTAGTTACTAGCCAGTCAGTCCTAAGCCCGGATAAAGAGGGAAGGTTGGGCATAGGGATAGCAACCCTACCCCGCAAAACCAATCTAACCACTAAACAAACTTCAAAGCACAAAGGAAATAAAAATGAAAAAAAATTTAACTTATTCCTCACTAGAATCAGAGAGACGAAATGACGCCAGTTGGTGGAAGCCTTCGGGAAGCCAATTACCCGATGTGTCGTCTCTCTTTCGATCAAAGCAAAAGTAAGCATGGGGACATGGAATGTCCGCACAATGTTTGAAGCTGGCTGCTAAGGCTGCTCACATTGCAAAAGAGATGAGAAGGTATAGCATGGAAGTGCTAGGAATTTGCGGAAGCAAATGGAATGGAAGTGGACTCTCCAAACTGTCAACTGCAGAGTCAATAATCTACTCCGATATTGTCACCCAGACGACAACCACAAGCGCACTGAGTTGTGGAGTGGCTATCATTATGTCCCCAACAGCATCGAAGGCTCTCGTGTAGGGGGAACCAATCTCCGCCTGCAGGATCGTGACAGCAAGATTCATCTCAAAAGGAAGGAAAACCACAATCATACAATGCCACGCACATACAAATAATGCAGATCAAAAGAAGAAGGAGGACAACTACAATCAGTAGTCGACAAGACCCCAACTCAGATGGCAATATCAAAACTCCAATGGGTGCAGTGACATGAATGCCTTCCTTACTAGGAGCAGACAACACAGGAAGGGAAGCAATCATGGGCCGAGAAGCACTCGGTGAAATGATCAATGAGAATGGAGAACTGTTTGAAGACTTCTGCACCTTGAACGATTTGGTGATTGGAGTCAGACAGTGTGTACAAACACAAGGATATTCACAAGGTAGCGACATGGATTTGATTTCACCAGACACCACACCAGGACACACTACACTAAAAATCAGATCGACTTGATCTCAATGTGAGGAGAGTGGAGACGCAGCCTACTGGACACAAGATGAGATGAAGAAGGGGAGCAGATGTAGGTGGTTCACACCACTCACTTCACTATCTAGTGCAAGGAACCTACCTTCAAAATCAAGTTGAAAGCCTTCACTTCACAGAAGTTGGTGATACACCACAGTTCAAGTTCAAGTTTAACACCCAGAACAGAAGCTTAACTGAAGGACAAAACTAAAAAGAACATATTCACGTCAAACATCAGGAAAAAGTGGGAGACATTAGGCAATATTGACAAGTAAACCTGCATGGAAGAACACTGGAACTCTGTGAAAGCGACTAGGAAGGAAACCTGCGTAACCGTGTTAGGAAGGAAGAAGAAGCGGCAAGACAAGGAATGGATCTCGGCGCATACATAGAAGCTGATAGGGCAGGGAGAGGAAATGGTGAAGCAGAAGATGAACTAGTGCAGTGCAAGGATGAACAACGAAAAGAGGAACTGAACACAACCTACAAAACACTACACTGAACAAAGAAGTGAAGAAGAAGAGTGCGCGCAAAGACAAAAGACACTTCTACAACACACTTGCCAGTGAAGCAGAACAGGCTGTTGATAGGAGAGACAGAGACCTGACAACACTTTATCAAATAACAAGGCTACTATCTGGGATGGAAGAGATCAACACAGATGAAACCAATGAAAGGTAGTGAAGGGAACTTAGTTACCAAAGAGAAGAAACAAAGAAAACGATGGACTGAACACCTCAGAAAACTCTTGAATCGACCACAACCACTACCACCACCTGCAACTCGTCCAGAAATACCACCAGCAGCCCAGCCACAGGACTACCAGTGAACACAAGCCCTCCAACAAAAGCAGAAGTGAAGTCCTGAACGCCATACACTTGCTGAAATCCGGCAAAGCAGCAGGACCAGATGGAATCCCACCAAAAGCACTGAAAACAGACGCAGAGACAACAGCAGCGGACATGCTCACACCACCACTGCAGAAGGTTTGCAAAGAAGGAAGGAAAGGTACCTGCCAACTGATTGGAGGAAGGGCTACCTTGTAAAACTCCCAAAGAAGGGCGACCTGTCTTTGCAAGAACTGGCACGGAATCATGCTCCTATCGCTGTCCAACCAAAGCAAGCAAAATATTAAGCCGCATCATCTTGCAGAGACTCAAAAATGCGCTGGATTCGAAATTACGACCGGAACAGGCTGGCTGGCTGACTAGCTTCAGGAAGAACAAATCGTGTGCGGATCAAATTGCAACGCTACACTACACTAAGCTACGCCTCATCACAGAACGGAGTATAGAATGGCAGTCAACTCAACTAAACCTCAACTTCATCGATTTTGAAAAGGCCTTCGACAGCGTCGACCGAGAAGTAATTTGACAGGCAGCTACTTCAACTCTACCGCTGTGGTGTCGCAAACCTATATCAACCTCATTCAACAGCTATATGACGACGCCACATGTCAGGTGATTCACAATGAAAGGTCACTGATGCCTTTGAAGTGAAGACAGGAGTAAGACAAGGTTGCCACCTACCATCACCAACGATCTTCCTGATTGTGGTCGACTCAACTGGACTGGGTCATGCAACAAACTGCAAAGGAGTGAGAAGAGGGGCATACGCTGTTTGACCGATGAAAAGATCCTAGAAGATTTGGATTTCGCCGATGATGATGATGATGATTTATGTCTAATGTTGCACAAACTCGAAGATCTACAGGCGAAAACTAACAAGTTGATAGAAGAGGCAGTGAAAACTGGACTTCAATTGAATTGAGAGAAGACGGAGGTGATGCAGATACCCAACGAACAACAGGATGAACAACAAGCACCAATCACCATCAACGGGAGAAATATAATGGAAGTTGTCTCTCACCTACCTACCTAGGCAGCATCGTCTCAACTATAGGCGGCACAGATGAGGACATCGAAGCAAGAATCGGAAAAGCAAGACAGGCCTTCATTAACTTGAAATCAGTGTGCAAATCTACTACACTGCACTCAGCACAAAGAACAAGGTCCGGATTTTCAACACTAACTTCAAGTCAGTGTTTCTATGTGATGGTTGAGAGACTTGGCGCGTCACGAAAAGCATTCCCAACAATCTACAGACATCCATCAACAGCTGCCACCTACGCCCACCCATTCTGAAGATCATATGGCCAGAATAATAAGAGTAAGCAACAAGGAACTCTGGCCGGATAACGAATGAACCAAGAACCTATCACCCAACAAATATGCAGAAGAAAGTGGAGATGGATTGGACTGGACTGGACTGGACATAGACTGCGAAGAAGGTTTGCGGACATCACGCACCAGGTCAAGTCCTTGAGTGGAAGCTAAATGGGAAACGATGAGTTAGACGTCCCAGGTGAGGGTGACATGGAGGAGATGGTGTGAGGAAGAAATGAGAGCTTGTGGTCAGTCGTGGCGCCAGGTTTAAAGGACTGCAGAGAAGAGAGTGCAATGGTGACGTGCTACTGAAGCCCAACGCTCCACTAGGAACCCAAGGGACAAATAATAATAGTAATAAGTTAATATGTCAGTATACAGTTGGGACCAAGCTCAGTATGGTTGGAAAATGACATGGTACCACTTCATGAATTTGTTGACTGTTGATATGTGCCGTTTAGGAATCAATGCATGGAGACTCTTGGTGATATCTTTGAAAATCGGTCACAATGGTGCAAATTTATTCACCAATTGACATCTTTTAAAGCATGAACACTTTCATTAGCATTAGTTTTGAAATTCGTTTTCCTCCGGTACACCTTTTCCTATTTAGATGTCTTTTGTATCCACTTCTGTTTTGCATTTCCGTGCGAGGTACTACGTTGATCTTGTCTTTGTGCATTGCTGCGCAGTAATTTAAGTTTTCATAAACCAAACCACCATATTAAGGCACAAGGCAACAAAAATTTCATGTTGTCCGCATAATCAAATTTATGATGAAGCGATAAAGCTTATATTGAAGTATGACATAACCCGTCAAATAAGTATTAATGAGGCTTACTGCAGAATTCAAGTATACATGTGCGGCTATAGATTCGAAATGCACTTAGCAAGCTTGTGCACATTTATGCAGTAGGCAATAAGCCACACCTATTGTGTGAGGGCCAGTGATACGACCTGGTTGCCTAACCCCTAGTAAGTGAATTGAGGCTCGAACTAGTAACCTATCGGTTGAAAATCATCTCCCTAAACCAATGAAACACAGCTCAACACATGTACGGCAGACAGGTGCATCACTTTAAGTAAGCACGCTTCAGAAAAACACAAAAGAGGTGAGGGATAAAAGAATGTTCGAGTAAATCTAAATTGCATGAGAGAAAACATGAATGTTAGAATGGTCAAAATTGCGATAATAAGAAGTGGATAAACTTGAGCCACCGTGATCGGTTTTGAGTTGGCACTAATTCAGTGACCACTGATTTGTGGCACGCCAAGCAACCTTATCACCTACATGGCTTACAATGAGTTACTGATTTGATGGGCTGACTTTTTGTTTTAGTGGGTTACTTAAGTAGGTTTATAAACCATGCTTCCATTTAGGATATCGAAGTTTGTGTACATCGTTGATTTGGAATTGTTGTTCCCCGACTTTCCTACGCCCACCATTTACATACACGTACGTGTATTAGTAAGCACTTTTGCTTTTTCACTTTCAAAGTAGCACCATATACAAAGTGGAAGTATTTAGTAAAATACCCTTAATAGACAGGCGCCAATGCGAGGGTAAGTAGAGATCATACCATGAGTATTTTGCGTAGGCGATTTTTGAGGAAAGATGATCATTATTCGTTAGTGCTGCAAAGCATCATTTTACTTGATCATCGTAGTCTGCAATGATGAAATCAGTTTTAAGAAGCAGGTGAAGACAATCTTATTTTACGGTATACATTGGGTTGACGATTGTATGCCAAAAAATGAGTTGAATCATCAGCTGCTTTCTTAAGTCCAACGTTGTGAAAAACACTCACCTAGTAGCTGAATACAATGTACGGTTACCGTAACATTTGTACAACTGGTCGTGTGCAGTGAAACCACCAAGGTAGAAACGCAAACGTCAGAAGTAGTCTAAGGTAAAAGATGCAAGTTAGTTGATAAGGTTGGGAGCAATCACTGATTCTGACGGCTGAAATGTTATAGATGAATAATCACCGTCTGCCGTATCGCGTAACGTTAGCTGAAGTTCAGGTTTGAAAAGGTTAGACGACTAGGTAAAAAAAACTTGGAATCAGTTTATGAAGTCTCCGACTGTGACCCTGGACCAGGTGAGAGCACGTAAACTTCACGGCTAGGGTCTGTATCGCAATCGAAACCTGGTTGAAGATTATGTGATATGGCTGGGAATCGATCTCAACGGTGCAAACACAACAATACAATTATAACTTTGTGTCACATTGAGTCTCCCTTTCATCTAATCCCTTCGACTCGGATGACTTTCTACTAATTGTACCTATTTTTTTACTTCCTGTCTTTAGCCCTGATACGTTTTATCTTAGTGTACTATGGGGTGTGTCAGCTTGGAAGATAACACAATAGCGTTAAGCTCCACAATAATTCTGCTGGATTTGTTTGATTACTGTTAGCGCTAAATTCTTGAATACTTCTGTACACACTCGACCTTGTTTAATCAAAGTTTTTAGCAACACCCGTTAAACTTAGGAAGTATTGCAAAAGGATGGTCCAGCCCTTTAACCAGAGTAAAAGAGCGAATGATGAGTTTCCTGAAATTATAGCGGCCTGAGACAGACTGAGAACTGATTATTTACTGGTTTGCCACTTAAACTTGCTGAGCATACAACTTAAAAATAAACCTCATAATTTTGCATGAAATCTCCATTTTTCCGAACAGCTCCGTACACTTTAAACTTTGCAATTATAAAGCAATATAAATATATCACTTTGAGTGAAAATGGCAAAAATAGCTACTAAAAGTTCTTGATGCTGATGAGGTAACAACTTACAGTGGTCATCCGTTAATTGCTTCAGCACATCACCTACTATCTTCACGGAAAAGTAAACGGAAAGCAACTAATAACAGACCTGTCCAACACTTTGTAGAGCCTTTAGATCATTTTCTGCTTTGTCATGCTCTTTGGAAACAGCCTTGGATTTTTCTCGAGCTAGTTAACGGGTAAAGCTAAAAGGCAGTGCTACCTTCTTTGAGTTTGGCATCTATACCTCTGTGTTCTACTAGTTTGCGCCGGTAGTAACTGAGTGCTTTCTCTCTAGCGCTTTCACCTGGAATGGCAACAGTCATGATTAATCCGCAGTAGCGCACGCTTCCAAATCAGCCTCAAGTCAACAAGAACATAGTCACAAGGTCAACAATCAAAATGCGTCAAATGGTACAAATGGTTGTTCATGGGATAGAAGCAGCTTTTGCTTAGACAGCTTCCGCGTCTAAAATCCATGGATCATTAAATCTACAGCGATAATTTAGAGAAGTAGTATTAGGGAAATACACTCTCACTTTGAAGGTATCTCTAGAGGGAGCAGACGCTGTTGTATAGCAGACGGTACCATTGGTTCGCAATTTTGTGCAAGAAACATACTTCCACAGGCAGAAAATTTGACTGCCGCTTATGAGCTTTTTGATGGTCTCTTCTTAGGCTGGAAGTATTAAAAACGAAAAGTAAACAAGATAGATCATAAAGCACCGCGTTCAGGGTTACTGTATATCAAATGGAATCACCCTTCATTCTATGTTTAGATAGTAAATGCCTATCCCTTCTCAACTTGGAAAAATTTAGGATGATGATCAGAGACAAATATTGATGTAATTTTAGACACCACCCCACGAAGGAAACAAATATCTTGCCTTCAAATACTGGAAAAGATCCAGGCGTTGCCCTAAAGTAACCGACTCGGACCTTCTGTCCATGGTCCCCGTGCAGCTAACAAGATGTATGAAATCCTGGGGATTCTCCCTCCACTCGACGAACTCTAACTATGGGCTTTTTACCACAGTGGGCATGTTATAAATTTGTCCTCACTGAAAAAAGAATCCGCTAGTTGTTTCTCCGTGCTTGAAGGAGGACACTACTATCCCCAAAAGGTTCGTAATAGAGCTAGGGAGAGAGTAATCGGGTTAAAAACAGTACTTTCCCGAGACGTTTAATTGCTCTTAAGCTGCAGGTGGTGCAACACAGGATGAGGTTATCCGTTCAGAATAAGGCAAAATAGAGCAGGTCCATATATCCGTGGTAGCTCATTTGCATTTGGGGTATGAAAACTACGGAACTACTTTCCTGGAGTTGTCACCGCCCCTCTCTCTTGATTCTTTCAAAAAGAAAGTTGATACACATGTGAAGCCTTTCGGTAAAGATGAAATTTACTCAGGTAGCCACCCATCATCTATTACGTCATGGGTAGCAGCACTCCTGGTGGCAATCTAGTTAATTGTCTCCCTATTCAGGTTTCTTCTAAGCGGGGAAACAATTGACTATCTTAAACATAGAATGTACTCTATTACAACAGACGTAGAACCAAAAGGACCATTCTACAGCACGATTTAGAAATTTTCGCGCATCGTAGAAAAAGCCTGACTCATTCTATCCTTCTTTATATGTGTGGCTAGATGGCCCTTTAACCGTCTCTACTCTTACCCCTGAACACAGCGAAATTTGTCACTTTCATGTTTGAAATACCAGCTCGATTTCCGAATTTCACATTGTAAATAGGACCCTTCATACAAAGGGGATCGGATCTGAAACACACTCTCATCAACGCTGTGAAAGGCCTTTTTAAAAGCAACAAGACTTGAAAGACCCTTGGAAAGGCTACTGTGAAGTTGCCCACTGTTCTGAGGTCTTGAAAAACCATTTTCATCATGTTTTCGAACTCACTTACTTTGGGCATTTCGTTGGTCGAATGGTCATGTGCATCCTCGTGACTTATTTGCATGGTATTAATTGGTAAACAGCCAGCCCCATGAGGGTCTCTCTACTAAATCATCCACTTTGAATAGGTCTTCTGAGGTCGGTTTCATTCACGAAAAAGGATGTGGAAAACGAAGTCACCTTGAACAGCTCTTTCTTTTGGTGGGAGGAAAAACCTTGGCTAATACCCTGTGACACTCTTTTGTTAAATGATCTCAGCGAAAACAAAACTCCGTTTACCCTTAGTTTTTGCCTCCTGCTGCAGAGTAAACCCTGGACTCAGTTCTTAACTCCTTCGTGGGTGGCAACGTTTTCCAGCTTCTTTTGAGATGTGGTCCAGGGGTTTTTCATAAGGAGTTTTACGTAGTCACAGTGAATTATATCGGTTCGAACATTCATGTCACCGGCTGCAGCCTAATGCCCAGTTGAGATGAAGGGGTTTGCTAGATATGAGTGACCTACTCCAAACCCATGGTATTCCGCAGATAAAGGCCTATTCCCCATGACATTAAGGGATAACCTCTTTCAAAAGTTTAGATAATAAGCCGGGTGAATTTACTGATGATAGCCGATCACCAGGTATCCGTGGTCAGCTTTATACACCTGAACAGTGTCGGCATCCTTCTAGCCCCTGAGTTATTCAATTTCGTTCAGCCACATGCCAACAAGACATAATGGCGCTCCGGCGACTGTATCCACTAGTGCTGATAATGTGCTTGTCTAGGTAACATGACTTGCCCAGGTTGGGGTTTGGGATCGACTTCGGGAGTACCCCATTTTCTACAAGCCCTGGTTCTATCCGTGGCGTGCCTCTCGTGAAAACAGTTTCCGGGTGTTTTACACAATCTTCATGGAGGGTTCTACAGGAAGATAGTGTGGTAAAGCCTCAGATATCATCATCATCAGCTACTTGCGTCAAGTATTTTCTCAGCACTTAGGGAATGTTCTCTTTTTTGCCCTCAGCCCTTCTGTCAGTGTAGGAGTACGACCACCTAGGATGATATTGAGGACCCTAAAGGGGCCATTTCCATCTAATAAACTTGGATTTTCTAATCATGCTTTTGCAGGAATTTCTGAGATCATAAAGCCTTTGTCAAAAGACGTCGGGGCTCATTTTAATGAAGAGTTTCCTAAAGCTATCCTACACAGATCCTCCTCGGCCTGTCTATTTGTTAGTTGGTCTGCGCAAAAGTGATCGACACATGGAAATGCGTTTAGCAGCTTGGAGTATGTTTTCACATTTACTCCTCTCGTCATCACCAGGTGAGGTCACATTAACTGACCAGTCTATCGAAGAAGCATAGCCTTTCATAGCCGCGATGTGCCCACACTAGATATTCCGATGGGTTTGTTCGGATTCACGAACCATATCACTAATTTTGGACTTGCACGAAGGCACTGTACAGCAACAGTTCAGCAACGGAGGTGGAGTATTTCGCTTGAACTTTCCACCCACCTCATGTATTCGTACAAGATTTAGAAAAGACTATCGCTAAGCACAATAATAGTTTGGTACTGTATATATGCACTGATGGCATTCATCCTCTGGAGGAGAGGGGTAGTTTACCGGCAAAAAGATTAAACGGCCAAGCTGAGAACGCTTCAGCACAGTTCAAATGCGATGCGTTGAAATGTACCATAGGACGAAGACCACTTCTGTGCTATTCAACAGTGCACTCAAGTATTTGTTTGCTGGCCCCATAGTCTGAACGGTTAGTGATGATGTCATCAAAAATGTAAATCCATGAGAACAGAGTTTGGTAGCTGCGGATTTCAAACATTCCACCATGATATGTAGCAAAAGTATCCGCCATGTGAAAACTATTACATGAGGATAAGAATCACTATTATTTGAACCTTAACACTCGTTTAAATAACTATAGATGGCACAGATGAGGACATCGAAGCAAGAATCGGAAAGCAAGACAGGCCTTCATTAACTTGAAATCAGTGTGCAAATCTACTACACTGCACTCAGCACAAGAACAAGGTCCGGATTTTCAACACTAACTTCAAGTCAGTGTTTCTATGTGATGGTTGAGAGACTTGGCGCGTCACGAAAAGCATTCCCAACAATCTACAGACATCCATCAACAGCTGCCACCTACGCCCACCCATTCTGAAGATCATATGGCCAGAATAATAAGAGTAAGCAACAAGGAACTCTGGCCGGATAACGAATGAACCAAGAACCTATCACCCAACAAATATGCAGAAGAAAGTGGAGATGGATTGGACTGGACTGGACTGGACATAGACTGCGAAGAAGGTTTGCGGACATCACGCACCAGGTCAAGTCCTTGAGTGGAAGCTAAATGGGAAACGATGAGTTGGACGTCCCAGGTGAGGGTGACATGGAGGAGATGGTGTGAGGAAGAAATGAGAGCTTGTGGTCAGTCGTGGCGCCAGGTTTAAAGGACTGCAGAGAAGAGAGTGCAATGGTGACGTGCTACTGAAGCCCAACGCTCCACTAGGAACCCAAGGGACAAATAATAATAGTAATAAGTTAATATGTCAGTATACAGTTGGGACCAAGCTCAGTATGGTTGGAAAATGACATGGTACCACTTCATGAATTTGTTGACTGTTGATATGTGCCGTTTAGGAATCAATGCATGGAGACTCTTGGTGATATCTTTGAAAATCGGTCACAATGGTGCAAATTTATTCACCAATTGACATCTTTTAAAGCATGAACACTTTCATTAGCATTAGTTTTGAAATTCGTTTTCCTCCGGTACACCTTTTCCTATTTAGATGTCTTTTGTATCCACTTCTGTTTTGCATTTCCGTGCGAGGTACTACGTTGATCTTGTCTTGTGCATTGCTGCGCAGTAATTTAAGTTTTCATAAACCAAACCACCATATTAAGGCACAAGGCAACAAAAATTTCATGTTGTCCGCATAATCAAATTTATGATGAAGCGATAAAGCTTATATTGAAGTATGACATAACCCGTCAAATAAGTATTAATGAGGCTTACTGCAGAATTCAAGTATACATGTGTGGCTATAGTATCGAGATGCACCCGGCAACCTTGTGCTTGGAACTCCTTTACTGATCACCTGAACTTGCCGAATTTATTCCTACAGCTGTGGGCCTTCTTTTAACATGTCTACGGAGACGGCGAACGAGGCTTCACTTATCTATCTTTGGTGCATCGCCCATAGGTACCTCAGCCCGTTAACTTGTATTCCATTTGAATGTGAGGAAGAAAAATACTGTGGCGTCACACAGTTCTCCGAAATCAATAACCTAGGGTTCAACGAAATTCAACATTGATTCTGACCTTGATAGTTTAGCTGGACTCGCTAAGTTGAAGGCGCCCGGTCAAGCACCCTCGCCATTCGGCAAGCTTTCGTGTTACGTTGTACTGCC